GAGGACTTGTTTTCTTTTTCTTCGACTTCAATCTGAACTTACGTGGTCTGTTCCACAGTCAATCCCTGGCCTGGTTTTAGCTGCTGATGCTGAGTGTGTCAGTCTGGGTAGAGTAGAGAAACAAATTCATAGACACTCGTGTGGATAACAAAGAGCTTAATATACAAGAGCAATTGAATATTGAGAAAACAGCCCTGCCCAGTCCAGATCAAGTCCAGAAATCCTATATTAGCCCATATGTCCAATACCAATCTATAAAGTCCTCTTCAGACTCATGAGAAACATGCAATGACTCTGAATTCAGGAAGATCACAGGCCAGTGGGTGAGAAGTCTTGTGGATTCAGTGGGATTGTAAGCATCTCAGTGTTGGCAGGGGTCTCCATGTGGCTCATCCATGTCAGGGCACTAATGTAGTGCCATGTGTCTTATCAGCTGCATTGTCTCCCAGGGAGTGAGCAGAGAGAGAGTGTGTGTGTCTCTCACCTCTAAGACGGAATCCAGGAGTTTCCAGAATCCTCAGGAGAAGGCTATGCCTACAAAGAGGCCTCATTGGTTTTGACCTGATTAACAGGCTAGTCTCCACCCCTTCACTCTTAATCCTCTCAAACTGACAAATGATTATATAACTACCACACTGAGCTTCTCCATCCTCTTGTCCCACAGATGTAATCAATTTGACCTCTGTGTATTCCATCTGGAGAAGTCTACATTCATAGTTTGTGTTGTTGAGAAAAGGTATTTACTATGAACAGGTCCTTGGTCTTGCAAAATTCTATCATGTGACCTCCAGCTATCTATCCTGGTTTCTATCACCAAGACAATATTTTCTAACTATGTTATTTCCTCTTTGTTTTCAACTTATGTATACCAATTGCTGGTAATTATCAATGCATCTTGCTTGCATATGTTGACCAATTTCAGACTGAAGACATTGGTAGAATTCTTCCGTTTCTGCATCAGTATCTTTGGGGTTGATGCATAAATTTGAATAATAGTTATCGAATGGAGTTCCTTGTATGCAAATGGACATTATCTTATCACAGACAGCAGTGCACAAAAGGATAGATCTTGAAATTTTGGAGATGAATGCAACGCCATGCCACTTAATCAATAATTATTGATCTTTAGGCATTCCATTTCATTTTTTCACTTCCCATCTTCCTAGATTCATACTTCAGACATTCCAAGTTTGAATTATTAGTTTGTGTTTGCATCTGTAAATGAAGATCCCTGAAGCTTTACCCCTGCAGGCTTTACTCCATCAGTGTCATTGTGGCTGACTCTATTTTGAGATGCAACTCTTCCTCAGTCGTATTTTCAGTGATTTTCTGGCACTATCGCTGATAAATGTTCTGATTCTGTGGATTAGGTTTTCAGTAATTGACAATGTTTTGATACTATCCATATGGATTTCAGTGGCTAATTCCTCTGAAGTGGGCAGCCTGTCCCTTATTCATGGTCTGTTCTTAATCTGGAAGCTCTGCTGAACTCAGTTCACGTGGGGACCAGGATGGCATTTGAAAGACCAATGACAAGGCTTTCAGAATCTCAGCAACACACACACTGGCAGAAAACAAGTGGGATGAGAGCTAAATGATAGCAAATAAAAACTAAGGCAGCTATTAACTTCAAAGACAACAAAGCTACACAGGAAAATAAATACAATCATAAGGCACTGCATGGTCCAGGTGTGTGGTAGTTACGTAATCTCATATCAGCTTGAAAAACAGAGTGAAGGGGTGGAGTCTAGCCTGTCAAACAGGCTTCAAAAAGGAACTCTGATAATGCTTCCTTGTGGGCGTGTCCTTCTCATGAGGATTCTGGGAACTTCCTCTCTTCCTCCCTGGAGGTGGGCACACTCTCTCTCTGCTTCACCTTCCTGCTGAAGAGACACACTCAGGAGCTGGAGGAGCCATATGGAGATGCTTCCCTCACCACTGGACCCACAAGACTTTCCACGTCCTGGCCTGTGGCACCATTTTGAGTGCCAACGTGCATCTGTGAGGAATGTATGGACTAGTATCGAACATTTGGGCTAATATCAGACTTATGGACTTGATCTGAACTGGGCTGGGATGTTTTATCAATACACAATTGCTCTTCGATATAAAGCTCTTTCTTACACATATATGAATGTTCCTGGATTTGTTTCTCTAGTCAACCTGGACTAACACAACTTGTAAATAATATTTATAGGATCAAAATAACAAAAAGCTACATACATGAGTTTTGCTTGGCTTTTCTTCAAATTGTATCATTTGAAGGTATCTTTAACCAAAAATTGCATTATAAAAATATTGGGAAGATGGAGGAAGCGGACATATTGGCAGAGGAAGAATAAGCTAACTCTTTTCCTGCATGTAAAAAAAGCAAGAGGTGATATCAAGTTTTAATACCAAAAGTAGCCATATAAATTAGCTATTTTAGAAAGATTGAGGGATATAGCAAAAGAAGCAGAGAAAAATATTAATGAGAGTCAGAAATGGAGAAGCACAGAATAGGAAATTCATGTATCAGTCTCATAGTACTGTGATTATTTTTATTCAGTGTGACTGATTTTCTTTCACTGTACATATGAGTCCTATCCATGTAAAATCCATGCATTACCTTGATTTCAACAACATCAGGGGAAGAAGGAGAGCTTCACTCAAGGGCAGAGCCAATTGTTAAAGCGCCAGGCAATGAATGGGTCTCAGAAGTGCCAAACACAATAAGAAGAATGGGTCGAAGCCAAGAGTGAGATTTACAGGGCCCAGAAGCCAGAAAGATTGCCAGAAGGGAAAAGATGTCTCCAGGCTGGCTCAGACTAACCTGAGAAACAGTAGTAAGAACAAATTTAAATCTACCTCTTAAAGACATAATGTGAAAACACTGGAACTCGGAAATGCTGCTGGCTCCTACTCTAGAATGAATAAATGGATACATGAGTATCTCTTCTCATGAATAAATGTAATGGTTTTAGAGTGGAAGCTTAGGTAATATTGGAGTAGTTAAAATGATTCTTCCAACAGAGTGATTTTTCAATGCAACCCTGTGTGCACAATGGTGTATCCTGTTCATGTGAGTTAACAGGGCTCAATATAGCAAAAGGTATGCTGTCTAGTGTTGGTTTGACTCAATGGTCTGAATTTTTCACTCCACAGATCCTATTAAGAACCAGAGTAATCTCTCCCCAGAAATATGGATATATGCACTTACTAGCAAAATGTTAGACATAATTATAGAGTTAATGTACCATGGGTCAACTGAGCAAAAAAATATATCACAGAAATTTGGATATATTTGAAAAAGATTTCTTACTTAAAAAGAATGGAGTCATTCCACTCCATGTGATGTCATTTCTCTGAGAGCGTGGATATTTTACCATCTGTACCACTACTGGCCTTCTATAAGGAACCCTGGTGGCTCTGTGGGATATGCACTGGACCACTAACCACAAGGTCAGTAGTTCAAACTCACCAGCTGCTTCACAGGAGAGAGATGAGACTCTCTGTTCCCTTAAAGATTTAAAGGCTCAGAAACCCTGAGGAGCAATTCTACTCTGTCCTATAGGATTGCTATGAATCAGAGTTGACTCTGAGAAGCCGGTTTTTGTCTTCTATACATTTTCCAGACTTCTGACAATACCATCAGTACCAGCGTGTTTCCGACTAAGGTGCCCGGTGCTTTCTGTCTGTGCTGGTACTGATTCGCTTGCAATGCTTCCCCGAAGCTCATGGTCATAGGTATTATATACCTACGGGAGTATTTTAGGTAATGAAATTCTCACCCCAAATAGGATTGTTCGATTGTCCAAGATCAACCTCATAGCCATGCTCCATGAAACACTCTATAACCGCATCTGACGAGCAAGGCAATGACGGTTTGTGTTTCAGAAGAACACATGGAGAACGTGTCACAGCAGATGAAGAGGAAACGGAGCCTGGCCAGCCTTCGTCGGACTGTGTGAAAGAGTAAAGAGACAAACATGTGTATTTGGATGAGCTAGATACAGGGAAAGGGAGGAAATACCCCAGCCTGTGATGCCTGCCAGGCTCCCTTGCAGAGCCTGAAGCACGTAATCTTAGGGTCATGGGTTCACCCCCTACTGGGCACTTTGTTATTAAAAGGGTCAGACTGATGTACGTAGTGGAAAAAGAAAGTCACTGAACCAGGAGTCAGGGGATGCATCTAATCTTGACTTGGCCACTACACAGAGAATTCTAAAACCAAATACCAGGGCTCTGGATTTGGACGCCCTCACAGGGCAGATGCCAAGAGTGAGAGCCACACCGCACCTGTGGGCAACCCAATAAAAACCACCAGAGAAGGCCAGGCAGGCACTTGGCAAAAATTTGCCTGAGCCATGCCCAGCGCCCACTGAAACTTGAGGGCCGCTCCAACCCACACCCCCACACCCCACTGCACCATGGGCTGCTTTACCTTTAAACTTCAGATTTCTGGTGACTCCCACATAGTCTGCCGAGTCCCATCGGGAACCTCCCAGCACCAGCCCCCACAATATAAGTGACAACAACACACCCTTGGTTTTATGTTGTCTGAAAAGGTCCAGGCACTGCCACTGTCACCCAGTCCTCTTGTACTGACTGCAGTATACAAGTGTGGGGAGGCTTCCGCACACACACCTCAGTCTCCCCCACTGTGCCCAGAGGCGGCTGGCTTAGACAGATTACAGTTTAAGAAGAAGAATAAAAAGCACAAGAACAATAGGTGTTGCCATTGAGTGGAATCCACTTCGTGGCGACCCTATGCGTGTCACAGCGGAGCTGTGTTCCATGAGTTTATCAAGGGCTGATTTTTTGGGAGTAGACTACCAGGACTTTCATCCAAAGGACCTGTGGGTGGATTCAAACCCCAGCCTTTGGGTTAAAGCCAGACAGGTGAACCATCTGTACCACCCAAGGACTGCACCGTCCCGCCTTCGCTTTTACTGAATGTTTTACTGAATGTTTTACTGAAGATAAAGGTTGTTATTCGATGCTATTGAGTGGACTCGTACCTGCCAAAGACAAGAGACCGAAACACCGCCTGGTCCTGCACCAGCCTCACAATCGTTGTTAGGGTGGAGTCTATAGTTGCAGCCAGTGTGGCAATCCACCTAATGGAGTGTCCTCCTCTTTGCTGTATATGAGAATAGGCCGCAACAGTTGTGGGCCCTACAGCAACACATTTAGAGACTACGGGAGAACACAGAGCTACATCAGAAATCCCACCTGCAAGATGCACTGCGGGAAGAAGCAGAGGGCCATGGCACAGTCTGGGTGGTCAAGAGAGGCCACCCTAACGACATGCTTCTTAAGCCTTGAACGTTATACACACTGGTCTGCAGTGTAGGATACAAGCGTAAGACGTGGGAGCTACCATTCATTGAATGCTTACGAAGTGCTTGGCAATGTGTTACATAGTGTTTATACTCAATTCTCAGATTCTTTCAACACTCTGTTAAAAATTATCATTCCCATTTCATAGACAGTGAACAAAAGGTACAGTGCTTCAGAAATGTGCCCAACAGAAGAAGAGTAAGAGGCAGAGGCAGGTTTGTGAAACACCAACCCTGCGTATTAAACCACATATTGTTACGAATTGAACTCTCCATCCAAATAAAAGTTATTTTTAAGTCCCAGCCCCTGTGCCTGTTTCAAAATAAGAACTTTCTTTTACCTTGTTAAAAGTAGGGTGAGTCCTAACTAAGCCTGCTCTTCCTAGCGGAGTCTTAGGAAAAGAGCAGACTCAACATGAACGCACACACGTCAGGGCATGAAGATCCTTCAACACATCCAGAATGCCAAGCAACCTCCTGGCTACCTGCAAGGAAGGACCCTCCCATACAAGGCGGCTTCAAAAAGTTTCTAGGAAAAATCTCACTCTTTCAGTTCCAGTTTTCCACAAACTTTCTGAAGTGCCCACCTGCACCCCCACCCCGCCCACCCTCCAGAGATCAATGCCCTGACTGAGCTTCTTGCTTCCAAAACTGTGAGACAATACATTTGCGTGGCATTTTTGGTGACCATGCTAGATAACTGTGAGAGCTATGCTGCCTCAGTAGTGGTCATTACCAAAAACAGTTTGTCCATGAGGCTCTTTTAAACACATGTGGATCAGGAAGGAATAGAATTCTACCAAGTCCACTAGTAAGAAGACAAATGGACTTATAAAAGTAGTATTATATTTTACTGATTGGAATGGAGGAGACATTGTCTTACTATATATACACATATATATACATTTATATGTATATATACCAATAACTAGACACCTGCATCCATAGCTACTCACAGCCACAACGACCACACAGCTCTGTTATTAGTTGCCATCAAGTCCTTGCTAATTCCTGGTGACTCCAGGTAAACAGAATGAAACACTGATGGATCAGAGGTGACCCGTCATCATAAATATTTGAGCCCATGTCATAGAAAGTGTCTCTTGTTTTGGCAGCGCATCTCTAAGCAACTCTACCTTCTCACATGCTACACTGACAAAACCACTCCACCCGCCCACCAGAGTTGAGCAAACGAGGAGTGAACAGTTGACCCAAGAAAAGCTATCCCAGAAGATACCAGTAGCCCTTAAGACAGCCCAGCCTGGAGAAAGTCCACCGAACACTAAGTAGGTTGAACAATGATTTCATTACCCAAATTTGAGCTGAGAATGAAGTAGCTGAAAAGTCTGGTGATTGAGAGAAGCCAAAGTTAGTCCATGCACACAGAGACGGTTAACATGAGAAAAAAATTCCAGTACAAATCATCACATTACAACAGACTTTTCCAATTAAGTTCTCTCAATAGATGTGGGGAAAAATATTTGATAAAATTCACCATCCAAGCCTACATAGATAATAAAATTCACATACACAAATCCAAGTAAAATTGGAGCAATCTGGGTACTACTGGTGGATTGTGTCAGAGCCAGTATTCTAATTGTGATAGTATTCTATCATCGTCCAAAGTGTTACCACTAGGAAAGAACTATGCAAAAAATGTATCAGGATCTCTACATATTATATTTTAAAACTGCATGTAAATCTGCAATTATCTCAATGGAATTTTCATTTGAAAGAAATGTGGCAAGAGAGGGTGTGACGGTAAGTAAGAGAGAAAAGGACAGACTGGCTGAGGAGATAAAGTTTATGGAAACAAAACTGCATTCAAACGTGGTAAGTCAAGAATGTTAATTTCCTTTTAAAAAATTGTCACCCTATCAGTATATCTTTCTAAAAAAATGTAAGCTTCAACCTTCTGCATCTTGACATAACCCTTTGAAGGCTGCTAACAATATACTAAGCTGACCCTGACCACCAGCGTATATAAAATAGAATAAGGTCATCGTACAATTTGTAATGCCAGCAATAGCAACCTGTGTCTAACT